TGTATGTCTGAAAAGGTCTTATTTTCTCCTTCATGTCTAAAGGAGAGCTTAGCTGGATACATTATTCTAGGCTGGTAGTTCCTTTCACTTAATAATTTAAATATTTGATTCCATTCCTTTCTGGCTTGTAAGGTTTGCAGTGAGAAGTCCAATAATCTAATTAGTTTTCCTATATATCTTCTTTTCCCTGGCTGCCCTGAGAATTTCTGTCTTTGTCATGGATTTTTGATAAATATAATACAATGTGTCTTGGTGAAGGCCTTTTTGGGTTGAGATAATTGGGTTTTCTATTGACTTCTTGCATTCCAAGCTCCAACTCATTCCTTAGATTTTGGAGATTCTTGTCAACTATTTGTCTGAAAATGGTTTCTAATTCCTGCTCCTTTTCCTGTCCTTCAAGGATGCCCTTTATTCTTATGTTTCCTTTCCTGATAGTATCAGCTAGTTCTTGTATTTCTCTTTCATTATTTTTCATTCTTCAGTTTTTCTCATCTTCCTTCTAATTTATTTCTAAATTTCTGTCTTTGATATCACTGATTCTTTCCTCCATTTGGTCGACCCTATCTCCCAAGCTTGCTATTTCATTCTTCATCTCTTTTAATGTGTTCTTCATCTTCAGAATTTCTATTTGGTTCTTTTTGAGGGTTTTAGTCTCCTTGCTAAAGAACTCATTCTGCTCATCTAGTTGTTTTTACACTTCCCGAAATCGTCGATATGAATTATTTTGGATCTCATTGAGTTTTTTCAGAAGTACCATCCTGAATTCTCTATCATTTAAGTCACATATTTCTATGTTTGTAAGTTTATTTTCTGGAGATTTTTCTCTTTCTGAGATGCCTTGTCACCTTCATAATTCACGAGTTTAATGGACTATTTCCCCACCTGGATGTTAATGGAAGTGTGTTCTGCTTTTTTTTTTCCCCCCAGAAAGATTTATTATATAAAGGTCTCTCTTAAGCCTATTGCAAAGAAGGCCCTTTTCTTTTGGTTTTCAGTGGGTGACATCTAAGCCTCTTGGATCCCTGCTTTATATAAAGCCTTAATAATGCTTTTTCTTTTCCTTATAAATATTCAATCATGCTCGCTACCCTCAGTGTCAGTCCCTATCTGTGTCAGCAACAGTTTTGGTAGTGTTTGCTCAGATTCCCCTGGGACTTCATGATGTTCAGTCTTGATGATATGGGAGCAGGTGCCCTATGGGTTGGAAAATGGGTGCTGTGGCTCAGCCTTGCATTTTGCAACCACAGCTGGTGACAATCAGCTGTTGTTTCTCAGCCATCCCCACTTTTCTGCTTTCTGCCCTGATCCCTGCACAGTGCCGCTGGAGCTCCAGCTCTCTCAGGCAGGGCTGTTCAGGGAACCTGCCGCACCTTTTCCCCTTCCCCTCCTCTTCCTCCTGTAGGTAGCTCAGGCTGTATTTGGCAGCTTCTTTGTTTCTCCTGGTCTGCTCCCCAACTCTCACGGTTTAACCTGTGATAGCTCTTATTCGCAGATCACTCACTCAGTGGACAGCCTTGACTTGTGGACAGCCTTGACTTGTTCCTGATCTGAGAGGGAAGGATTTTAGCTTTTCACCATTAAGTATAATGTCGGCTGAGGACTTGTCATATATGGCCTTTATTATGATACGGTACTTTCCTTCTATACTGATTTTGTTAAGTGTTTTGATCATAAATGGATGCTGTATCTTGTCGAAGGCTCTTTCTGCATCTATTGATATGATCACATGACTCTTATTTTCTAATTTGTTTATGTGGCATATCACATTAATCGATTTGCTTATGTCAAACCATCACTGTGCCCCTGGGATGAAGCCCACTTGATCGTGGTATATAATCCTTTTAATATGTTGCTGTATTCGGGTGGCTAGTATCTTATTTAGGATTTCTGCATCTATGTTCATGACAGATTTGGGTCTCCAGTTTTCTTTTTTTGTGTTCTCTTTTTCAGTTTTTGGTATCAGGATAATATTGGCTACATAAAATGAGTTGGGAAGTATTGACTCCTCTTTGATTTTTTGGAAGAGTTTGAGGAGAATAGGTATTAAATCTTCTTTGAATGTTTGGTAGAATTCACTGGTGAAGCCATCTGGTTCTGAATTTTTACTTTTTGGTAGGTTTTTGATGATTGTTTCAATTTCTCTACTGTTGATCAATCTATTTATATTTCCTAGTTCTTCTTGATTCAGTCTAGGAAGGTTGTATTTTTCTAAGTACTGGTCCATTTCTTCTAGGTTATTAAATTTGGTGTTATATACTTTTTCATAGTATTCTTGTATAGTCCTTTGTATTTCTGCGGTGTCTGTCATGATTTCTCTTCTTTCATTCCCTGCTTTTGTTTGTGTCCTTTCTCTTTTTTCTTTAGGAGTCTAACCAGGGGGATGTAAATTTCATTAACTTTCTCAAAGAAACTGCTCTTTGTTGTATTTATTTTTTCTATTGTTTTTG